AAATATTTGAATCCCTAATACTAGGTCTTCATAAACTTACCCAGTATGTGTTGCATTTTGCGAGTGTATCTGCGGTTATGTCAGTGTTGGTTTATATACAAAAACTGGGTTGATTAACTTCTGATTGGCGGCAGTTAATGAGCTAGTTAATTTAACCATAACGTAGTTAACAACATGTAGATTAATTGCACTGAACTGCGACGAAAGCCTCCTTTAAGACAAAATACACTAAAAACAAAATATTCTCAAAAAAGTAATACACTAAAAAGTAACGAAATAATTCCATGAAAATAGTAAACCTCCCTTATTGTAGCTGTTATGTCTATATTGTACAATTGTTATTACTTTGATGTCGATGTCAGTGATATGTAAGGCTTTCTACATATTTACCACTAGCTGTTGCTCGCGACTTCGCCCGCGTGAAATAATAAATATAATCTATTATGTTCGCCTTTTTTTCAACCTATTACCAATGGAATTAACTGAGTAGTAATCTACGTAATAACAGAAATCTACTGATGCAAGATTCCAAATTTCTGAGCCCGGTAGCTTGTAAGCTGATTCTTCGGTTACCCTTATTGTTTGTATGAATTTCCTCGGAATTGTATATAATTCCAATATCTTATTAGGAAATGTATAAAGTAAATGCTTTCTGTAGTAAAACACGTTGTTAATAATATTTTTTTATTATAACACTTATTGAGACAACCGGGTAACAGTCATACCGTAAAACAATAACAATATCTTCATATTCTTTTACTAATTATAACTTCTAAAATCAACTATTAACGTATCACAAAATCAACTTATATTTATTCTTATAAAATCAAATTTTCATTTGGCAAGTAATCAGTCTGATAGCTAAGTAATTGTAAATGTCAAAGTATATAAGTAAATCTTTATATTATAATACTTTGTCAGTCCATATAGCTATTTGTTTTTGCAGGGTAAGCTCGAATGGCATTTGGAAGTACATAATACTTTATTTTTAAAACACAGACATCTTGCTGTAGCACAGTTTTTCTTGCAAAGGCACTTCTGAAATCCCTGGCCGGTCCCATTGGATTGCAAGTTGGCAACTGACCGGAGTGTAATCTCGGTACTCGGTACATCATCTGCAGAAGAACTCTTGGACACACATTAATCTGAGATCGAGCATATAATCGTTTTAAGATACCGTTCTTGGTACCAATCTGATGGAGTTCATCATCGGTTTTAGTCAAAACTACACCAATAATGTTACGTGCATCACCTCGTCCTCTATCAACCTCCGGAACTGCAATTCGTACTGAAGCGCCAATAGGTACAGGACCCAAATTCTTTTCACTCAATTTCAGCATTTTTTCGGCTTGTTGTTGTAGGTTTTTCTTAGCATTAAGACGATTATCTAGTGCTTTATCTTTTTTTGAACATATTGGACACAAAACTTTAGATCCAAACCCTTCATCGGATGATTCTTCAGCAACAGCGCAAATAGCGTGGATTGCACATCCACATTCTCTACATGTGTGAGCACCTGTAGTTTCTTGTGAACAGATGCTGCATTGGAGGGTGCAATTTATAGATCGAGTGTTTGTATTGCGTTGATCGATCTAAAACGTCGTTGGACACTTGGCTTACCTCTGCCTCCGATTTCATCTTAGAGAGTTCACATGCAGAGACTTTGGGATCTTCCTTTTTGGTAAGGTCCTGTATGATTTTCTCCAAATCTTCTTCAGTTTCAACATTTTGCGTGAAATCACTGGGTAAATGTAAACCAACTTTTACTTTACACCCAAAAAGAGCCTCATATGGAGATTGCTTGATACCAGCATGAAAAGCTCTGTTTTTCATCAGCTGGACAAATCTCAAACCCTCACTCCAGTGTGAATTATCATTATCTTGCATCCACGTGGTTAGCATATTTTCAATATCCTGATTCGCTCTTTCCACACTCCCCTGACTTTGCGAATGCCTAGGTTTACCATGTATAATTTTTAAAGTAGGCCAATATGCTTTTAAATTCTCAATAATTCGATTTGAAAATTCTCTGCCGTTGTCAGAATGTAGTATTGCAGGAGGACCAAGTAGTGTAAATATATCTAATAAAGTGTGAGCCACTTCCTCAGCTCGTTTTGTTTTAAGTGGCCGGAAAACAACAAATTTTGTTAAATAATCTTGATAAACCATTATAAATTTGTTATCACCGTCGGGCTGGGACTGAAAATCTATAAGATCTACTTGGCACCTAGAATTAAAATCTGAGGATATAATAGGTTTCACAACAATGCCTTTTTTAATGTTTTTTTGCTTTTGTTGACAAGGTTCACAAAGTTCAAGATACGTTTCAATATCCTTACGTGTTATGTTTTTGTAGCGACTCCATACCTCTTTCATCATGCGATCTCTTCCGCCGTGACCGATTCGAATATGAGCCTCGTGTAATATGTCGAATAACTCGCTATCACATGCGTAGTAAATAATAGTGCTTGTAGTTTCTTTAATAGGGAAAATAAGCTTACTGTTATGGTCAATGGTAAGCACGTCGTATCGCCGCAATAGCCAATAATCACGAGAAGTCTTTCTAGCAGTTGTTTTTGCCGCAGAAACGTCTTCAATTAACTCTTTATAACGTTCATCTTCAATAAAAGCAGTGTTTTTAGCGTTTGTTAATATTCCTACTGACGATAAAGTCTTATAAAATCATCCTTTCATAAGCGCGATGCGTGATTCGGCAGCCATTTTTGAACAATAGAGACATTCATGCGCACTGACAGTTCACAAGACAAGACACTGCGCGATCGCCGGATCAGGCGAAGCATTATCCTCCCCTCTTCCCGCTGTCCCCGCGTACCAACCAATATCTTAAATGTTTTACATTTCCGATTGCTATTTAGGGATTGTATAGAATTCCTAGGAAATGTGTAATGTGTAAGTAAAATATAATTTATTTCACACATTTCCGTGCGATTTTAGGAATTACATACATTGCCTAGGAATTGTATACATTGACGGATTACATACATTTCCGTTAAGATATACAAGTAGATTGTCCTCAAATAATTAAAAAGTCTAACCAGCACATGGATGGTGTGGACCTCTTAGATTCATACCTAGGGAAATATAAAATAAAAATTAGGACAAGAAAATGGTACCTCAGACTATTTTACCATCTTCTTGATGTTACTCTTATCAATAGCTGGTTATTGTACAGAAGAGTTG